TGCGGGGGGTGTGGGGCTGGGCTTGGACCCGGTCGAGTGGGGGGTGTGAAGGCACCAGGGCCCAGCTGGGAGGGTCTCTGGGGAGGAAGGAGGCCTTTGAGGGGGAAGAGTCGAGGGGCCGTGGGCTCATTAGGGAGGGTTCCAGGCAGGGGAGGAAAAGATGGTGGTGGGGTAGGGGGCTCAGTGAACGAGGCTCTCTGGGGAGGGGAGAGCGGACTGGGGTGGGCACAGAGGTTCAGGGTGCCCTGTACCCCCACCCTGCGTGTGGGATCCGAGGATGTGCAGGACCAGTGGTGGACTGGACTGTGGAGTCAGGGCGAGGGGCTTGGCTGCCCTGGGGTGTGTCCTGAGATGCCGTGCACCATGCGTGGCCTTTGTGGGCACGCAGGGTGGTGTGACAGTGGCTGGCATGCGTGCTGGGTGCCTGAGCCCAGTGGGTGGGTGCAGGCTTGCACCGGGCCAGTGTGTTTTTACACTGACTGGACACTGTGTGTCAGCGCTGCTTGTTGACACTGCAGGGACTGTGTGACGCATGAGTGACCTGGGTGTCTCTCCTATGGTGGGTGCCTGAGCAGGGGTCCTTCCAGGCTGGGGCTTATTTCCCCTAGGTTGCACAGGGGCCTGGGTGGGCCCCCTGGAGAACAGACAGACCCTGCCCAGAGCTCCCTGGGACTGTGGGAAGCAGCATCACAGGGAAGGGGTCTTGGCACCCTCCTCACCCAGTCTCACCAGTGGCCACAGCATCCTGGTCCTCATTCCTCTGTCTTTCTTCCTCCCCAGGCCCTTCAAGCCCCACAGGACAGGGTCACTGGCCCATTTTTCAGCGATGCAAGTGGGTCTATTTCTGCTTTCCTGGAGACAGCATATCTCTTCCCTCTCCCCAACTCACGGGGTGCCGGATCTTGGGCAGGGTGGGGGTTGATCTTGGGCAGCTCCATGTGGCAGCCCTGGTCCATTTCCATTGCTGGAGAGGCCAAGCCCAGGATGCACCCGGCAGGGGAATGCCAGGGAACCATCTCCCTCAGATCCCAGGGAAACCCCCCCACCCATCTCCCCACGGGTGGAGTCAGGCTGGCCCCAGGGCTGGCTTCTCTCTCTGGATAGGTGGACATCATGGGGGCTGCAGGCCACCCCAGGTTGGAGCTGGCCCCAGCCTGGAGACAAGAGGCCCAGCACCCCCATGCCCTGCAGGAGAGGAGGGGCAGAGGTGGGCCCTAGGGGGGCCCGGGCCAGCCCAGAAGACCCTGCCTTGGAGAGATTGTGGGTAGGTGGGAATCCCAGGAGGACAGTTCCCACCCAAGCCCCAGTGCCCCCTGGCATCCTCTCTCTGCTCGGAGAGGAGCTCCTTGAACAGGGGTGGGTCCCCAGAGGTGGGGATGGGACACAGGGAGTGGCTAAGAAAGGAAGGTGCTCAGGCTGGCATTCTGCCACTTTCTCCCGTATTCAGACTCAGGCCTGTGGTCCAGCTGTGCCCCAGTCCAAGGCCATGCTCACCCGTCACCTGTCCTGGCTGACGACCCCTCAGTTTAGGAGTCAAGATAAGAAACCCCCTCTGTACGCCCCTCTCAGCCCTTCACCTCTGCCCGTTCTGTTTTGCTTCAATGTCCTTCTCTCCCCAAGGATGGGGCCTTGGTAACTGTCTGGGTCCCCAGGGCACCGCAGAGACACACCAACCTCCCTGGAGCCAAGCCATACTCGCAGGGTGCCAGCCAGCGAGTCAATGAGCTTTGAGGAGACCCTTGCATGTCTTTGTGTGTCTCCAGACGGCCGCCTGTGTGGGCAGAACCGGTTCCCCCCAGCCCCTCCCTGCATGACTTAGCCTTCTAGGCTTTGGGTCAGCCCCTTCCCAAGGCTGGGCTGGCCCCAGGATTCCCTTCCGCCCAGACAGAAGCACTGCGGCACGGGGGTGGGAAGGCAAGGGTGGCCGGGCTCCAGGTGTGGCTGCTCTGCCTGCTGATGAAAGCCTGGGGACGAG